ATACATCTATAAGTATTATTATATAGTTTACAAATATTTTTTCTATGGTCATTTGATAACTTGAAGTCTAAATAAAAAGGAATTGTTAGTTTTTGAACAAACAAATAAATATTGTCATAGATACCTAATATGGTACATTTGACTGCCAAAGGTGGATTTTTCATAAAACACATCTCCAATCTACGTAATTCACAAGCTTTCGCAATAACTGATTCTCCCCAATCAAGTAAATTAATTACATAGGTCTCTTCTCCGTTCACATTTTCTTCAACAGATCTACAAATTCCTCTATACCACCTACCATCTTCTAAAATTAAAGTAGTAAAAGTATTACCAGGAAAATAATGACAATTTTGGTTGTATAATAAGACATCATTCGATTAGTGTTATGAAGCACTTGCATGAATAATAAAAAATATTAAATAATTATTAATATCAACTTATATTATAAGTTTTTTAATTAAATAACTATCATAGAACCATAAATCTTTCTGAATTATACGTATTTTTATACTATTTTTACAAGTAAAATGATTTGTTACCATATTTAGTTGCACAAAGTTCATTTTTTTGTGGTTTGTAATTACGATTTTGAAATTCAGGCTGTCTATAATATTCAGTCATTTTATTTTCCATAGACCTTACGATATGTTCATCAACAACTTTTGTCATGCAAAAATAGTTTTTTAGAGAGTATAGTACTCTCATTTTATAGCTATAATTATTTGTCAATTTGAGTTGAGGCATATTTTCTAACATATATAATTTTGGTCTGCTATCGACTAGAGTTCCATTATGTCCATCCACAATACCATCTTGCTATAAAGCAAAAAAATAGTGTTAATATACATTATTTATGGTTACTTTATTCATCTTGAACGTCTTCTCTGAAAAGCTATGTTAGTAGTTCATAAGAATGTATAATAAAAATTTAAGTATTTAGTATAATTAGAATAGAAAAATATTGAATATATGGTTTCTAATTACCGAATATAACTGTGTATCTTCCAATGGAGATTTTGACCAATTTAAAGTTGATGCTTTATCAACTAAAACAAAAATTACAAACAATTTTTTTCGTATAATTTCTAATACATTTTTTAAGAAATTTTATATAAAATGAAGTCCCGATTCTTCATCTCCAGTAATTACTTAAAATTTTTAATAATTTCTAAAATAGTTGTTGTTTGCTAGTAATTTTATTATTATTCAATAATCTAGTTATTTAAGCGTATTTCTATTTGAAAAAATATTTGACATCGTTATAGGATA